CATGTGTAAAAAGTAATTTATAGTGCTTATAAAAAATGAGTATGAAACAAAAATAAGTCAATTCGAAGAATAAAATTTGTAAGAATTTGCAGAGATATTCAATCACTACCAAATTTTCTTGGTTGAACGTTTTAGCAATTTTAGTGACCAAAAATCAAAAAATCAGTTTTTAGATATCACTCCTAATCAACCAATGTCGTTGCCATATGCTTTTAAGGAATTTTGACCTTGTCATCTTCAAAAAGCACAAAATTTACGCTTTCTAATGTGTCTCAGACCAGAAGATTCCATCGAAGCTGGGAAGTGACAGATTTTCAGTATTTTCAATGCAAAAATTACGCGTCAATTTAGTAGATCCAATAGAATACAATATAACTGCAAGAACTGAGAATTCCGCAATAGCAGCACAAGTTTTAAACTTGGAATTTCGCACTAGAGCGTAGAAAATATTTGATGAACAAGAAAGCAAGAAAATTTTACTTTGATTTTATCAGGAACAAAGCAAGACTGCGGACTTGACATCCAAACATAATCACGAATAACTTTGCCCATGTTTTTAAGTCACAAATGTAAGTTTTTAGATGCTTATAGAAGATAAGTGACGTGAGTTCTATGCTACTTCTTTGCGCGTTTTTTCCCATATATAATCGCTTCCTGTTCCCAAAGCTTCGAACAAATAAACAAAGGCATCAAGAGAGGAAAGAATCGAGTCGATTCTATACGATACTCTAAGAAGCCTCGATGTCATCAAGCATACGTTATTGGTTTTTTGCCAACTTGCGTAGCTCCGATTCTTAACGAAAAAACTACACCTCCATAGAAAGGATTTATGTACAAGTGAAAGGTGAAAATGATTATGCAGGAAAGAAAGAGAAACTTTCTAGAAAAACCTGTTTGAATATATCACAACATGGAAAAAGGATACATAATGAGGAAGAAATGAATTGTTAGAGCATAGTAGGCACATTGAATGCAGTTTGAAGCTAATGAGTAAAAAAAAAGCTTTTCAAAAATCCCAAACAAAGGCATATTTTCAAGCATAGTAAAGATACAATTATCTACAGATATAAGGTCAATTCGTCGTTTTTAGTGAAAGAATCGAAAAAGTAGAAGGAATCACCGAAGAATGAGAGAGGAAATGAAGTGATTATAGTTGAAAGATATGTTACAGATAAGTACAACAAAGAAAAAGGAATTAGTGTTGTGAACCATTCGATTCCGAACTTCTCGTCGAATCAAATCGATTTTTACGGTATCTAAAAATGGAGCATAAGAGAAAAAATTACAGGAATGAACCATAAGATGCTAACAGAGGCGCGTGCCAACTTGATTCACTTCGGCCACTTAATTCGCTTGATCCACTTCGCTATTAGTCAAAATCATGAACTGACCAATAGGGAAGCGGGTGTCGACTTGATCCACTAGATCCACTTCGCTATTGGTCGAATTCACGAACTGACCAACAGCGAAGCGGGTGTCGACTTAATCTGCTTGATCTACTTCACTATTGGTCAAATTTATGAACTGACCAATAGGGAAGCGGGTTCGACTTAGTCCACTTGATCCACTTCGCTATTGGTCACTTCATGATTTGACCAATAACGAAGTGAATGAAGTGGATCAAGTGGATCAAGCGGATCAAGTATGGCAGGCGTCAGATTTTACACAAATTAAGCAAAACAAGATTTAAAAAATAAAAAAATTGTCTCACCTCCGTACAAGTCCTTGTAAAGTATATTTCCTCTCGAAATAGTTTGCAAGCGGATGTTCACTAAGTAGTGTGGCAAGAATTTGCTCGAAATTTATATGCCATTCCTTCTCATCCACTCTGGAAAAACACCAAAAATCCCACAAAATCAACCCTACCCAAAAAAACCCTTACCCAGTCTGAAGTGCAGCAATACGTCGTCTCTGTGCAGTGCTCAAATCTTCCTCTGGTGTTATGGTATCCTCATCCTCTTGTTTCACTTCTGGCGACGTTGATTTTTCAGGCGACGTTGATTTTTCAGGCGACGGACTATCACCGTCTTCTTTCATGGCATCTGCTATTTCTGCTACCATCTTGGCTCGTAATTCTCTGTGTGTTTCACCGAGTTGGAACAGGAGAGTTCCTGAAAATGTTGTATAAAAAATAGACACTGTAGTCTATTAAGATTGGTAGATTTCAATCTATTGAAATTGG